CCTATCAAAATAGCTGCAGGGAGAACCCCTTTGACCTCCAAGGAACCCACTTTGAAAACCACTTTTTTGGGTTCCCTCCTTTCATGCTACATACATCTGAGGAGGACTCCTGCCTTGGGAGGGATCGGTGGCCTCTGCCTCTACTTCGCCTTGAGTCTTCACATCTTTCTCTCCAGTGCAGACCCTTCTCTGAGCTACAGACTGACAGACCAGCCAGCTACCTGCTAGATGGCCCCCAAGCCCTGGTGGGCTAATACTGCCCCAGGATCAACGTGTTCCAAGCAAATCCACCTTCATCTGCCTCTGCCCCAGAGCATGAGCAGGGAGGAGAGGCAGAGGGAGAGAGAGAAAAGCAGACTCCCTGCTGAGCACAGAGCCTGATGTGGGACCCGATCCCAGGAGCTGAAGGCAGACGCTTAACTGACTGAGTCACCTAGGCGCCCACATGTCTCCCTCTTTTTAAAGACTTCTGATCTCCTGTCTTCAGTGCAGTTTCTGACTGTGAGTCCTGCCTCCCTCTCCGGCCTCAGAGCTTGCTGCCCAGACTGCTGCCCTGAGCTCTGGGTGGCAGGCTTCATGCTCAGGTGGCAAACGTTTTCGGAGAGAGGCCTGGGAGCACGTGTGTTGGGCTGTGGGCCATGTCTCAGCTGCAGACAGCCCAGCTCTGGCCTGGTAGCGCTCCGGAGGCTCTCAACACTTCGCAAATGAATAAGCAAGGCTGTGTTCCATAAACCTTTATGGATGCAGCAACTTGATTTTTCATACAGTTTTCGTGTGTCATGAAACCTTCTTATTCTGATTTTCTTCTTCAGTCTTTAAAAACGTAAAAGCCATTCTCAGCTTGAGGACCACATGGAAGCAGTCAGATGGTGTGGTCAGGCCTGCAGGCTGTGGTTGGCCCAGCTCCGCACTGGACACACAGGTCTCTGGGGCTCCTAAGACTTAGCGCTTTCAGGTTTTCTTGCCTTCCCTCTACCTGGAATGCTCCTCACTATCTGCGTGGCATCTTTCTGAGGTTCACATTGATGCCGCTGCCACTTTTTCGTCTTCCTTTTTTTTTGGCTTCTTTAAGTGCTTCCAGCCAAACTAATTGCTCCTTTATCTCTAATCCTAGAACCCTTCCCCGGGCCTCAATTATAGCTCTTATCTGGCTGCACACAACTTATAGATTTATGCCTGTTCCTCTCTTTAACTCGTTCTCCTTGACAGCAGAGCCTAGCCTAGCCGCGTTCCCCTTTCTGTGCTGTCACATGGCCGTGTCACGCCAAAATGCTTGAAATTCAGCACACTCACCCACCGTCCGACAGCCGGCCAGACACACAGTCACACTCTAACTCTGGTCCCTGATTCCCTGAGGTAGTATTTAAAATCCTGTTTGGCCAGGAATACCCCTAAATTCTCACTGGACTGAGATGGGAATAAAAAAAGCCATGTTGTAGGTTATTCATTTATTTATTCAATGTATGATTTGGTTTCTGGGAAAAAAATTGTCCATCAATCCATTTAGGGGTTTATAATGATTAGCCCCGAAGTGCCATAAATCACTTGAGACTAATGCCATCAAGCTGAGGGTGGCAGAAACTGACCCCATGCTGATGTGTCCCCAGGTCCAGTCCCCACACTTCTCTGGCCTGCTCTGTGGACTGCTAGTGCAAGGGGGCCCGCTGGTAAGGCTCCTAGCCTCGCAGGGTATACAGCAGGCCACAGCAGGGCCTCTGTTCCCGTTTCTGGCTCCTTTTGGATTGGCAGATGGGAGGCACAGCAGACAGGAGGGAGAGAGAAGAGAGAGATCTGGTTACTGATTCTGGGCTCCTCCTCCTGCTCTGGTTACTGATTCCCAGGCCCCCTCCCCAAGCACTGTGGGTTGGCGGGGGTCAGGCTCCTCAGTTCTGCCAGGTGGTGCTTCTTCTACTCCCTCTGGCCCTTTCTCCCCCACTGTGGCGAAGGCCTCCCCGCTGCATGGTCCCTGAGGGCCTCATCATCCTTGTGGGGTCCTTTAATCCCATGCTATTCTCTGTAAAAGGTCCCATCACTACTAAACCTTCTTCAGTGAAAGCCGGGTAGGATGCTTTCTGTCTCCTGTTAGCCCCTTGACTAAAAGCTGTCTCAGCCACGCTTTGGGGCTGTGTTTGCAAGCTGCAAAACAGATTATTTTAGTCATTCCCAAGTTTCCTTTCCTTCTGAGCAGTGGTTCTCAGTGGGGGGTGATTTTGTATGCAGGGGTCATTTGGCCACGTGTGGAAACTTTTTGGTTATCATGACTGTGTGTTGAGGGGAGACACTACTGGCCTCTAGCATCTAGTGGATGGAGGCCAGGAACGCTGCTAATCACCCCAAAATGCACTGGACAGTCCCCTACAACAAAGAACTCCTCACGCCACAATGTCAACAGTGCTGAGGCTGAGGAACCTTGCTTGAGTCGCCAACTGATTATTGCATGCACTTGCACTATGTGCCCCCAGTCTGGAAAACACTAGAAAAAGAAGTTCCCAGGGTAGAATCATTTATTAACACAATATATATGCCACCATGTATAAGCATGCCGGCTGCAGATGAATACCACTGGGGTGCAAACCCTGCCTCCAACACTCCATCAATGAGACCTTAAGCCAGTTACGCACTCTCTCTGAAACCCTGGCTTCTCACCTGTAGGCTAAGGGGAGGACCTCCTTCCCACAGCCGCTGCTAGGACTGGATGAGTAATAAATGCCAAGTGCTTGAAGCCTAGAAAGCCCTCTGGAAACACTGGCCCACGTGAACTTGCAGACCCTATTCAGGGCTGTATTCAGGGAGACAGAAGAGGATAAGATAGGGTCTGCTTCTGAGAAGTTCATCACTAAAGCAGATTTTCAGACTGGGGGTTGTTCCCTGCTGTAGACTTGTGAAATTCATTTAGAGGTTGCAGTTAACATTAAAAATTGGAAATTTTCAGGGTGCATCATGATTTATAAGGGTAAATGCCACTTGGTGACATTTTCTTTACAGTTCTATAGATAGATGTGTGTACTGGGTTGTGCTGGAAAATGTACTTTTTTATGGTGGGATGAGATTAACAAATAAAGTTTAAAAGCTCCCAGTTAAATAGGAAAGGTAAGACACTCGAGGCACCAGAGAAGGCCCTCTGGTTTTGCAGAAAACTCACACGAGCCTGTGAAGGAATTCAAGCTTCACCACCTACAGCCTGTGTGATCTGTGTGTGTTGGGTTTGTTACAAAACCTCTCTGAGCCTTGGCTTCTTCAGCTGCAATGTGGGAATTAAAAATACATTTTGCACTGCACTGCGGGGGGGGGTGGCGGGGCAGTGGGGGACAGAGCCTCCTGCACAGCAGGTGTGCTCCTGATCTTCTAGAGGCTGCCATGGCTCAGTTCTTGTCGCCCATTGTCTGGCATCAAACTGTAACCCACGACCATGCCAGACAGGCCTTCAGGCACCCAAAATAGTAGAGATCTTGGTACCTATTTAATCAGATGAAATGATAATATTCATCTCTGCTTTTCTATTTTGGAAAATACAACAAAAAGATCCAGACAGGTGCTTCGCTCCCACAAAAGCCCATCGCCCGCAGTGGATAAATGTTTCCAGGAAAGCTCTCAGAGTGAGGCTTTGTGAAGCTTGTCAGACCAGGTTGGCTTTTGGGTTTATTTTTTAAATATTTCAAAGGTATCCTGCCACCCAATGCTAAGGAAATGAGGTTGTTTAGGAAAGGTCCCGATTTTAAAGGTAATGAGCCTCTGCTTCTAGGGCCACTTTTATCCTAGTTTCTGGCTGGAAAGCCTGGCCCCAGGGGCCTTGTGGCGGGGGCTGCCCCCTGCCCCTGCCACCTCCAGACGAGTGATGGGCTGCTACTGTCCGGAGCCAGAGCCTCCGAGCTGGGGTTGGGAGGGACAAGCTGCCCCGCTCTCCACCGTGAGAATCTGCGCGCCCCCCTCCCCCCCAACCCCAGCACACCCTCAACTGGGAGGCACTTCTTGCTTTTCATCAGCCTTACATGGTCCCATTCTCTGCACACCACTGGTTTTCCTCACTCACTCACTTACAGCCTGAGCCCACCCCACCTTTTATTCCCCAGAGCCTTCCGGGGCCTTCTGCTTAATAGGTGTGCAATACAAGTTTGCTGTTGAATCAATCAGAACCAACATCGGCTTGTAATTGGTAGCAGTTAAGGGCTTAATGAGCAAATTCTAAAGCCCACCCTTGGTGTTTATAAATTTTGTGTACTTAGAGCAAACTCAAGGTTGAAAGGAATGTCCTCATCTGCTCCCATACATCCACTGAACTTTGGATCTCCTCCAGGGCTGAGGAGCTCCCCACCTTGGGGTGAGCCAATTCTTTAGGACTGGAGCAGAAATCTGCGATTCCCCCCTGCCATTCCTGGTCTGGGCTCTGGCTGCCAGGCAGCAATTCACAGATTGGAGCACCTGAGCTAGAGCACTCCTAGAGCTCCCAGCCTGCGTGTGTAATGCATTCATGCGCTACATAACACGAAAGAGAGTTGAAATATGGCTCCTCTTCCACTTTACACGGCCGGAGGCGAAATGCTGGTGTTAGAGAGGTTGGGCTCCGGATTCAAAAGGCAGGAGGGGTTCAGATGGCCTTGGGAAGCTGGCTTAATTCCTCTGGGCCTCAGCTTCCTTGTCCATATAATGGGGATGGTGATAGCACCGACTTCACAGGGGAATGATGAGGGTTAAATGAGACAATGCTTATCCATTGCCCAACACAGTGCCTAGCTCTTCGAAGGCACTCAGTATTATGATCAGCCTGACCCGAGGAGGGGCCTGGAGAGGGGCAGCTCGGGCTACACGACCCTGTCGCTGCCTTGGGCAACAGGCCACTGTGGCAGATGCAGAGATGCAGATGTGGAGACCCTAGGCCTGCAAATAAGAACAGGACGACAGAGGCACGCCCACCCTGAAGTCACCCCGAACCCAGTCTGGGGACAGGATGAGCTCCCAGGAGTCACTGCGGCCCCCGGAGGAAGCATGGCAGCCCCGCCTACCTTGGTATTGGGCACTGAAGCCACGCTGCCGGTGGTTGCCGTCCGAAGTAAAGTGCAGCCGCAGCCAGTTCTTGCTGCTGATGACAGGGGCTGGGAGGCTGGCTCCGGTGAACCTGCAGGGACATGACGTGGGTGGGGTTAGAGGTGAGACAGGGGCAGGTATCCAGGCGTGTCCCCACTTCCCAAGCGAGCTGGGGCCTCAGCCCAGGCCTGGAGTGGGAAGGAGGGGCGGTGCCACCCTGGCTGCCCTCCAGCGACCTGGGGCCTGAGCAGCTTCAGGGGGCTCTTCAGGGGCCCTTCCCACCACTGAGTTACCCTGAGATGCTGTGGAAAGGGTGGGTCCCTCAGGCCAGGAGCAGAGGCCCATCCCCTCCCCCCAAGCCAGGAGTGTTGACAAGTGTCACTCCCTTGTGCCACGGACTGAAGTTGCAGGAGAGAGGCCCAGCCCCCCCAGCAGAACCCACCCACCCCCACCTAAGATCCTGATCCCCCAGCAAAAGTCCAGCCCACGACCCCCGGGCCGAGGATCGGTTACCCCTAGTGAGCCCCCAAGGAGTCCGTGGAAAGGGCCTAGGCAGGCACTCCAGGAAGTGCGGCCCTTCAGGGGTCTGAGAGCCCATTCTGGGGTCACTCACTAGGCCCCAGGTCTCCTCTGGCTCCTCCTTTATTGCTGCTGCCTCCATAAGAGGCATCCCCTTCCCTGCTGGGTCCCTCCTCCCTTAGATTAGCCTCTTCTGGCTCCCAGCCAGTCCAGCCCAGAGGGCGGACTGTCACTGTTCACTGCCCTAGCCTCTTGGCCAATTGCCATCCTGAGCCACCTTCCAGGTCAACCAGATCCTTCCTCCTGGAGCACAGGAAACTTCAGTGGCTCCCCAGTAGCTACAAAAGACCCACTGCCTTTCAAACTTCCCACCCTGTCCCCTGCCCCCCCGAGCCTCTGCTTAGCGCTGGCCCTCTCCACCACACTCAAGCTAAGCCGTGATTCCCCCCCACCCCCTGCGTGTTCCCTGCACCCCAGGAACCCCCTCCATCTTACCTTCCCCCCCCCACCCCACAGCCTCCCAGCTGGCCCATTGTACTGGTGTTTTCTCCCTCTCCGCCCCCCCCCGCCCTGCCCCGCCCCGCACAAGAATCCGGTACAAAGCTTCCCGATGCCTCCCCTCTGACAGCATCACATCTCCCTCTTGCCTGCCCCCACCCCCGCAGGGACACCCCACAGGCATCTCCTAAGCACACATGCTTTGTCCTTTCCTAGGTCTTTGCCTTTTCTGCCTGGAACAGAGAGAGCCACCTGTAGTCCTCTCTCTTGCACCCCCTGTGTCGCCTGAGATGACTTCGGGAAGTCCTCAAACATCACGTCCCAGGAAAGCCTACCTCCCCTGCTTGGCTTCGAAGCCATACAGATTTGGGTTCAGATCCAGCTTCAGCACTTAGCAGCAGTGTGACCTAGGACTAGTTACTGAACCTTTCTGAGGATGAGAATACGAATAGCAGCCTGAAGACCTGTGGGCAAAGAACTAGCCCAGTACCAGACACATAGGAGCTCAAGAAATCTCATTTTCCTCTTCCCTCCTCCGTCATGCCACAGCACTGCATTCGGATTATGATCCCCTACCTAGGTGTGTGTCTCCCTATGATACCTCCTCAAAGAGGGCGCTGTAGCCTGGTGGTGAAGCTAGGGCTCTAGAGGGATCAGCTGTGTTATCTTCACAAAAATTACTTCAGCTCTCTGTGACTTTATCTCTAAAACGGGGACGACAACCATTCCTTCAAAGAGTTGCAAGGATTAAATGAGGCAATACACAACAAAGACCTTAGCATGGTCCCTGGCAAATAGAGAGCTTTTGGTAAATGGCAGCTGCTCTTTTCTTCTTGTCCACTTGCATTCTTCATCTCTGTACCAAGCACCTAGCATAATGGTTGGTACAAAGCAGGGACATCAGGATGCCTATACAAAATAGGTGGTGCACTAGTATGAGAATAATTCCAGGAGTTCCATGAATGGACTCTTTATAAAGGGGAAACCACCAGGGATGGGGCAGTATCCATACAGCCTGTTACCATTCGAAGGCCTGGAGAGGAAACTGTATCCCTGAAGAAGAAGGCCGTATGGAAAGGGCCACCATATAGGACCCAGATCTTCAGGCAGTTTGTGCAAGTCCCACCAGGAGGGATCAAGGAATGGATACCTGGAACTCACTTTCCTCTCTCCCTTCCTCCAATCTCCTACTGATGCTTCTGTTGATCTATCCCAATTGGAAGCCAGAAGCAAAGGAGCATACTGATGTAGCCTCACCCACAGCTAAGTCTTCCTAGACATGGAACCCAGTGGAGAAGGTAGGGGAGAGCATTTGGAGGGGCAAATGGAAGAGATCTGACATGGTGGGTCCCTATAAATATGTATTAAACAAAGGAACTAACCAAGTGGCTTCATACCCTGCAAACCTGAATTTTTACTATAATGAAAATGCTGACACACACCAAACTCCAATAATACAACCCATATTGCCGTGGTAAGAGCTATTATAGAAACCAATTACCGTATTTTACCAAAGCCCATTTAAATTTTTTTTTTACTGGCTGAGTCATTTAAGTTTTCTAAGGAGCCACAAACAGTATTGTGGGTTTTTTTTCCCCAGGCCAAATTCAATTCTAACTCAATGACAAAGCTTGGAGACTATTTACATAAGGGAAGGAGAAATAGGGAGAATTTACCTGAATAATTCAGAACCAAAGGCTGTTTATTGCAAAATGGAATGTGGGGAGGGTGCCTAGGTCCCAGGAGCGGGATGACAGTAATGCTGGAGATGGTAAGCGGAAGCCAGTGAGGCTCCTCCAGCCCCGGTATCTGCTTTAACTCCAGCTGTCCAGCCTGGAGAAGCCCCGAGGGACATCTGTCTTCTATCTCTCCCAAAGCTTTACCAATCCCTAGGATTCCTGCTAACTGTTCATTCCTAAGGCTTAAACTCTCCGGGCCCCGTGGTGCCTACACACCTTTACTCTGTTCTGCTCCTGCCTTTGCACATAAATGTGCACTGGAAAGTTTTCTTGGCAACTATCTCAAGAATTGGGGGCTTCTGTGTTGGAGTCATCACATCAGAGTCTGCCACTGAGATGGTGCCGTGCCTCACTGAAAACTCTCCAACAAACCAGTGACACACACAATGACATGGATGACTCTCAGAAGCTGATTATACTGATAAAGAGGGCATACGGTATGGTTCCATTTATATGAAACTCTGGAAAAGACTAATCTATAGCGAGAGAAAGTAGATTAGCCGTTGCCAGAGCTGGGGGTGAGAGATACTGGTGGGGGTCCCATGGGAGGGAGTACAAAGGACCCTCCTAAGGTGATGGAAAAGTTCTACATTCTAAAGGAGATGGTGGTTATGTGGCATGTACATGTTGGTCAAAGCTTTAAAAACTGTGCATTTAAAATGGGTCACTTTATTTTTGCAAATTATACCTGAATAGAGTTAATTAAAAAAAAATCTTCAGTGGCTCTATCCTTAGAGTAAAAGATCTTACTCTGGCCTCAGGCTTTAAAAAAAGTCAGTGTGTCCTCACCTCTCCTACCTCCTCCTCTCTTCATCTCTATTCTTTCTACCTAGCTACACAGGTCTCCTTGCTGTTCAAAACTGGCCAGACCTCCTCTGGCCTCAGGGCCTTTGCACTTGACATTCCCTCTGCCTGCTAGCTGGCTCTTCTCCCAGACATCTATGTGGCTCACCTCCTCACTTCCTCTAAGCCTTTGATCAAATGTCACCTTCTCAGTGAAGTCTTTCTGGTCTGACGCCTGCCTGCCTTCCTTCCCTGAGCACATGTGCACATATGCGTGTGCGCGCGCGCACACACACACACCCACCCACCCACACACACACACACCATCTCCAACCATACAGAAGACCTTACTTGTACTGGAACGCACACTGCTTTTTTGTGTTTCTCTGCCTTTGCACTTGCTGCTCTTTCTGCCCTTTCCCATTGTACCACCTGGCTGCACAGAGAGGTTAAGAAACTTGTTCAAGGTCACACAGCTATTAAATGGGCAGAGGTAGGAGTCAAACTCAAACCATCCCACTCAGAGCCTATGTACTCAGCCACTGCACTGTACTGCCACATACACACAAGCATGAACCCCCCCCCCGGAACAGTTCAGGCTGAATTCCATTTCTGTTCTTTTTCCTCCCCTCCCATCCCCCCCCCCAAGGATCCTCTTTAATTTTGCTCCCTCTTAGAATCATAATTGAAGGAGAGAAACACAAAGAGAGATTCTCCCCTTCAACCCTTTCTGTCCACATTAACTTCACTCTGGGGGGCCTGGGGAATTCCAAGTTCGCCCAGGAAATTGCTATTGCAGTACAGCATAGAATGTATTTAAGCAATTACACTCAATTTTTTTTTCTTTTTGGTAAATTGACTTCCGTTAAATGGGGCTTCATTAATGGAATCTGGCTTGGGGAGAATAAAAAACAACAACAACAAAAACACCACAACGGCTCCCTTTAATGTATGTAGTTGATTATGGGGAAAGTGGCTTTGAATTCCCCTACAGAAATCTCTTAGTTCTTGTCTTGGTAATAAGAGAGCTCAGAGCAGACTTCATGGAAAACATTTCTTCTTAAGAAGCTTCTCCTACAGTCAGGATGTTGGGAACGCTGGGATGATAACTGAGTCTGCAAGGAATCACTGCCTAGCTGTACGCAGAGGGGGAGGAGTATTAGGAGCTCCTGGTTTCAGTTTCAGTATTCCTGAAAACTGACATGCTCAGGAGAACATTCACTCATTCATTTACTCACCAAGCACATGATGGATACAAGGCACAGCGCTTGCCAGTGGGTGCCACTCCCACTGCTTCCCTGGGTATGGGGAGTCCTTGCAAAGCCTGAAATCTACCAGATTTCAGCTGCAATGTCCCCTTCTCTGCACAACCTCCATTCCTCGGTCAATGGCATCTGGCTTCTGGGCTCCCAAGAGCATCTCCTGTGGGCTTTATCTCTCAGCTAAGCTGTGTGCACAGCCTGGATCTGATACAAGGTTGGAGAAGCTCTGCAACCCAGGGGCCAGCAGAAACCATCCTTCCAACCCCAAAGCTGGCTGGGGAGAATATAAA